AAACCCTAAACCCTAAACCCTAAACCCTAAACCCTAAACCCTAAACCCTAAACCCTACACCCTAAACCCTAAACCCTAAACCCTAAACCCTAAACCCTAAACCCTAGACCCTAATCCCTAAACCCTGAACCCTAAACCCTAAACCCTAAGGTGGTACGTTGAGGGACAGACGTGTGTGTGTGTGTGTCCTGGGAGGGGTGTGACTGTGTTGGATTGAGTCAAGTGGCTGATCGCATTCATTTACGAAGTGAAATAGATGCCAGCACTTGTTTCATCTCATCTTTATACGCCACACGATTGCAAAAGCATGAGCACGGCTGTGTGCGATGTCCTGACTGTGAATGTGTTGTGCTTCCTGGGTGTGTGTGTTGAGTGGCGTGTCCCGAGTGTGTGTATCCATCCACGTGACTGACTGCGAAGATCCGTTCAAATGATACGTGTGATGTGACATTCATTTGAAGGCATCCAAATATGAACCGATCCGCCTTACACACCCCTCCACTTAGACACACACACCTACTCCCACCACACCCCCACACTGTACCCCCACACACACACTCTAGCCCGACCGAACTGCCAGTTAGTCAGACCTCTGCTTACTCATCCGACCCATCACTGAGTGTCGTTCATGGCTCCTCCCTCTCCCTCTCCCTCTCCCTCCCCCTCTCTCTGTCTCTGTCTTTGTCTCTGTCCATCCGGTTGATCATCTCATATCGGTCATACGGCCCCGGACGCCTGCTGCCCTCACTGGTGTGGGGGTCGTCTCGCCGCCGCATGGGGCCGTACCCTGGCGGCGACTCGGGGCTGTCCTTGTCTCTGTCTTTAGGGAGGGGGTGCGGGGTGAGGGGCTCCTTGTCGTTGACAGTCGAGGGGCGATGTGGGCGTGGAGGCGACTCGTGCTGCTGCTGGGCAGACTCACCAGGCCTGAAACCGTACACACACAGAGGACACACAGACAGAGAGACGGAGAGAGAGGGCTGGGTGGGTGGGTGGGGGAGAGTGGAAGGTCGTGTGTGTGTGTGTTTACATTGTGTGCTGCAGCAGGTGAGGGAGTGCCTCGTATAGGTCGTCTGGCGGCGATATGATGGGCCGCACGCGACGCATCTGACGTCGAAGTACCTGCACAACAGAACCCGGGATTCTTCCCTCTCCCTCTCCCTCTCTCTCTCTCTGTGGAAGGCAGTTGAGCACCTCACCTCTCGCTGTTCGACTGGCAGCCAGTAGAGTGGGTATGGACACGGCTTGGTCTTCTTGAACAAACGAGACATTCGATCTGATAGACAGTGAGTGACACACGTACAAACACACACATACACAGAAATATGGATGGATGGATGGGTGGGCGGAGGCCTGCAGGCCTGCCTCACTGACCGAGAGCTTCCACCGTCTTGTTTGCTTGCGGCACCGCACCCCCATTGCCTAAACGAACCGAACCAACACACATCCATACACACACGCACACACGCAATGAGTGAATGACACACAGACAGACAGACAGACCCACCCGCTTTAGAGAAGGGCACCGGCATGCCGTCCGGAGTGCGGCCGGGGGGCAGAGGAGAGCTGCCATCCATCCATACATAAATACATACACACACACACACACAGAGAGAGAGAGATATAGAGAGAGAGAATGTTGTTGCACCCGACCATGCACCCGTTCATCCGTGCGCACATATGCTTTTGCCCTGCTGGGTGTGAGGCCGAGAAGGGCAAAGGGCTCCTGGACGGATGAGCACCTACACCTAGACACACACACACACATGCATGCATGCGCCCATGAGAGTGCGGGTGTGTGTGCCTCCCTGCCTACCTGGTATGGTTGGCTGTGCGTCGGGAGAGGCGACGTTAAGTGTGCGGGGCGGCAGCGCCTTGCGCTTACCGGCCTCGGCATCGTCCATCTGCACATACACACACACATATGCACCCACCAGACAGACGCACAGACGTCAGACACCATTGCGCTGAATGACTGGCTGACCGCCCTCACCTCTCTCTGTGTGGCGAAGTGTGGCTCCAGCACACAGCTAGAGGTCTTGGGCCACACCACATCTGTGTGGAGACAGACATGTCCCTCCTTGCGTGTGTGTGTGTGTGTGTGTGTGTACCTGTGAGGGCGTCTTTGGTCCTGATGGCGTCGTCTTCGGTCTCAAACTGACACACATGACACACAGACAGACACCCGTGTGTGTGTCGTTGAGGTGTGTGCGTCTTGGCCTCACCTCAACGAGGCAGTGTGTCTTGATGGAATCCATCCAGAACCGCCGGATGGTGCCCGTCTCCTCAAGGAGCGAACGAACAGACTGCGCACACAGATCATCACACACACCAGCAAGGATGTCCGCCTTGCCATGTGTGTGTGTGTGCGTTGACACCGACCTTCTCAGTGAAAGGCCGCACGAAGCCATAGATGACCAGACAGGGCGAAGGGACCCCCCTGGCCACCTCCACCTCCCTCTCCCCGTCAGCACCACCCCCGTCATCAGCCCCGTTGGCACCACCAGCTGGTGTGGCCTCTCCTTCCTCCCTGCCGTTGACATCGCCGTCAATGGCATGTCCTTTCATCGCAACGTCCTCGGGCAGAAGTGCCCCGTCCTGCTGCTGCTGCTGCTGCTCGCCAGCTGCTTCTACTGCTGCTCGTGTTGGCTCTTGTCCGCCCTGCTCGTCCTGCTCTTGTTGGTGGCCGTTGTGGTTGTCGAGAGGCTCCTCGTGGTCGTGTTGGACGTGTGCATCATCATCTGCTTGCATCTGATGCATGTGCTGGTTGGCGTTGTCCTGGCCTGCCTCTCCTTCTTGGTGGTGGTCCATGCTGTGTTCTGCTACTGCTCCTGCCGCCCTCAGACGCCTCCGTTGCTCGCCCGCAGCAGCGGTTTCAGGGAGCTCGCCCAACGTGCGAGCTTTGAGAAAGATCTGCACTCAGGCAGCTTGTTGGGTTTGTTCGTTCGTTCGTCTCTCCCTCCGTCCCCTCACACCCTCTCCCATCCCCATCTTCCTCTGATCTGCAGCACCCCACCCCTCCCTGTAGCCAGCCATCATGACGCCCCTCCCCCCCTCCCTTGTGCTGTTGCTCGGCGTTACGGCATCGTATGCCTACGTCCCCGGTGAGTGGCGAGTGTGGGGCGAGCCATGGCAACGAAGAAAGGCAAAGATCTGCATCTGCCTGTGTCTGGGAGGGAGAGAGAGACACGCGCCATGCAGGGTTGCTGTGTGTGTGTGGGTGTGGCATTCCTTGTCAGGTCCGTCGTCGTTTCTACGTAGCGGCAGGGTCGGCCCAGGCCGGTTTGAGGGCACCAAGCTGCACCAGCAGCCACCAACGGCAGCCACTCAGACACACGCCACCACCCGAATGAGTACGCCATCCACAACGAGAGAGAACTCACAGAGGGAGAGGGAGAGGGAGAGGGAGGCAGAGCGACATCTGCACAAAACCAAAACACAACACACAGCACAACACACAGCTCTCCCATTCTTTCTCTCTGTGTGTGTGCGTGTGCAGCTCCTGAGGCCAAGTACCGAGTAGCTGTGATCGGTGGCGGCCCGGCCGGCGCTAGTGCCGCCGAGATCTTTGCCGAGAACGGCGACATGGTGGAGACCTTCATGGTCGAGAGGAAAATGGACAACTGCAAGGTGGGTGAGTCCCTCTACCAGTGAGTGCCACTTACTGGTGGGGCGGTGGGCCGAAGCATCGTGGACATCTGTGTGTGTGCTGTGTGATGTCAGCCGTGCGGCGGTGCCATCCCTCTCTGCATGGTGGAGGAGTTCAACCTCCCTGAGAGTGAGATGGGCACACTTACCGCCCACAGACACACACACTCCCTCTCTGTCTGTCTCTGTCTGTCGCTCTCTCTCTGGTGACAGACATAGTGGACCGTAAGGTTCGCAAGATGAAGATGATCTCCCCGTCCAACAGAGAGGTGGACGTCGGCAAGACCCTCCTCCCGCACGAGTACATCGGCATGACGCGCCGAGAGGTCCTGGACAAATTCATGAGGGACAGAGCCGTCGAAAAGGTCAGCACGTGGGCCACACACACCCACAGAGACAGACAGACAGACAGACAGACAGACAGAGGGAGAGTATGGCCCTCTGCGTGTGTGGGTCTCATCCACACGTGTGTGTATGTGTGTGTGTGTGGTCAGGGTGCGGTTGCTATCAACGGTTTGGTGACCAAGGTTGATTTGCCCGAGAGCAGCGACAGCGGCCGGTACGTCATCCACCTCAAGAACTTTGACAAGGGCGACAAGGGCACCGGAGTCAGCGAAACACTCGAGGTCAGTCAGTGAACCCGACAACCCCCACCTCCCCCCAACACACACACACACACACACACACACAGAAGGAGAGAGAGAGAGAGAGAGAGAGCAGTGACACACACACACACAGACACAGAAACACCATTCTTGTCCCTCGTTCTGTGTGGCCACAGGTGGATATGATCATCGGTGCCGACGGTGCCAACAGCCGTGTGGCCAAGTCCATCGGTGCGGGCGAGTACAACTACGCCATCGCTTTCCAGGAGAGAATCAAGATTCCCGACGAGCAGATGAAATACTACGAGGTCAGCCACAGAGAGAGAGAGCGAGAGGGAGAGAGAGAGAACACTTGATGCGTGGATGTGTGCCTGTGTGTGTGTGTGTGTAGGAGCTGGCGGAGATGTATGTGGGCGACGATGTGTCACCGGACTTTTACGCGTGGGTCTTCCCCAAGTAATAAGCACCACACACACATACACATCCATCCATCCATCCGTGTGTCTGAGCGTAGGTATGACCACGTTGGTGTGGGCACCGGCACCGTCATCAACCGGCCAGCCATCAAGGAATACCAAAAGGCCATCAGGTCAGTCAGCACCAGCCCCCCTCCCCCCCTCTCCCTCTCCCTCTCGACACCAATCTCCCCCTCTCTCTCTGTCCACTCCTCGTACTTACACAGGGACCGTGCGGCCGAGCGTCTGCGAGGCGGTGAGCTGTTGAAGGTGGAGGCTCACCCCATTCCCGAGCACTACCGCCCCAAGCGTGTGGTGGGCCGTGTGGCGCTCGTGGGCGACGCGGCGGGCTACGTCACCAAGTGCAGTGGGGAGGGCATCTACTTTGCTGCAAAGAGCGGGCGGATGGCAGCCGAGGAGATCATGGGTGTGATGAAGGCCACTGGCAGGCTGCCCACCGAGCAGGAGATCAAGGACACCTATCTGAAGAAGTACGACCGGGCGTACGGCCCCACTTACACAGTGCTTGACCTCCTCCAAAAGGTAAGTAACCATCACCACCACCGTGGTGGCACCCTCTCCCACACATACACACACACAGCCACACACACACCATCTCTGTGTGTGTGTGTCATTGCTTAAGGTGTTTTACACCAACAATGCGGCGCGCGAGGCGTTTGTGGAGCTGTGTGAGGACGACTACGTGCAGAAGGTGACCTTCGACAGCTACCTGTACAAGAAGGTGCAGGGCAACGACCCCCTCAGCGATATCGGCTTGCTCTTCAAGACCATCGGATCGCTCATCAGGTATGCTCACAGACACACACACACACACACACAGAGAGAGAGAGACAGAGAGAGAGAGAGAGAGGGAAACTCTGTGTGTCCATTGTGTGTGTAGGGGCAACGTGTATGCGCCGCCCGACAAGACCATCTCCAACCCGGTCGAATCGAAGAAGAGGCTCGGCTCAACCGTCCCAGCATGAGCACCCTCCCCTCCCCTCCCCTCCCCTCGTGTGTCCGTGGTATCTGTGTGTGTGTGCGTGTGTCCTACTAACGCTGCTGTCTGACGTGTGCAATGGTTGCAATGATCCCTCTTCTCGCCCGCCCCTCGTCTCTCGCCTTGGCAACTCGCGGCTGGCTGCATGTGTGTGAGTGTGTGTGTATGGTGGTCGTGCTCCAGCCATGGGCACGTCGCACATGCTGCATCTCGTGTCGATGCACTAGCGAGTCGTGCACACGGCGGCTTCATGACCGACATGCGCACAGCACACACGAGCCACTCATCACTCGTGAGGGCGGTGCATGCATGCATCACACCACACGTACGGGGAGTTTTTCTCGTAGCGTATCAGGCAGGGAGGGAGGGATGGCTGCCTGTCTACCTGCAATTGCAAAGAGGAGGAATTTTTGCTGCCCTGCTGATTTACTCCCAGCAGGCCTGCAAAGGAATGGGAGGGAGGGAGGGATGGAAGGGGGAGACAAGGCAAGAGACGACAACACAAACGAACGAACGAACGAACAAACGAACGAGCGGATGAGTGAAGGGTGGGTGCGAATTTAAGACAGATTGATTGCGAGACAGAGAGATTTTTCCACCGAGTGATGCGGCGAATGCGACAAGGGGTGAGGGGGAGTGCAGTGAGAGTTTGTATGTGTGTCTCGCGCTGCTCTGTGCTGTGCCGAGACGGACTGACTTCCTTTTGGAAAGCGTCTGGGTGCGTCTGTGTGAGTGCGTGCGTGAGGGATATATGAGAGGGTTGACAAAGAAGTCGCTCAATATGGCAACGGAGCGACGGATTCGGATGGATGGATGGATGGATGGCAGAGGAGCCAGCCCTTTTTCGGTCAGTCAGCGAGCGATCCAGAAAGAGAGAGAGACATGCAGACAGAACAGAGAGGGAGGGAGGGATGTTTCCCCGTCCGTTTCTTTCGTTTCATATTCATGGTTGTACAGACAGCCACACACACACACGTGTGTCTAGTTCGTTCGCTTCCGATTCACCCCACACACCACGGCCGGGGCACGTCCAATGCCGGCTGCCGATGACGGCGGTGAGCACTCACAGTGCTCGCAATCGTCTGCAGCCACTGGATCTGACGCCCACCGGCGCGATGTGTGTAGTGGAGAGGGTGGCTTGCCTTGTGCACAGACAGAGAGGCAGACGAGCTCTGATGTGGTGATGTCATGCTGTTGCTCTGTGTGTCACGTCTGGGGTGCCTTCGACGCCGGCAGCTCACGGCGGTGGCCAGCATTCACAGTGCTCGCTGTCGCCTGCGCTGTGAGCGTTGAAGCTGCACCAACGTGGTACTTTCTGAGCGAGATGTGCAGCAACACCACAATGTCAGTGTTCTGTCTGCCATTTTTTCATTTTCATTTGACGCGATGCAATGCGAGGTGATGAGAACCATGACGGACTCGCGCGCGTGCGTGAATGAGAATTCGATGGACGCAATAGTAAAGCGAAGGGAGAAGATCACCGTCAGCGTCGCCATCGCCCCACACACAGTTTCAAAAGGACGCATCCATCGACCATCACATCAAAGTGTCAGTCGCATCCATCCATCCATCCACCCACACCGCGTGCCGCCACACACAGCTACCGATCTACAAGTCTGTCAGGCAGCTGTTGCACCCCTCCACCCGTCAATTCATCATCACTTCTTGGAGAAGCGCGACTTGATGTCCGTCTTGGTCAAGGCTGAGTGAGCGACACACAACACGCGCGCACACCAGTGAGAGCTGTGTTTTCAAGACAAGAGGTCTCTCTCTCTCTCTCTCTGTGTGTGTGTGTGTCCCTATCGATTACCAGGTGGTAGTGACTGTTTGAGCTTCTCGGCCTTGTCCCTGTCGCCGATGCAGAGGGTGTAGGTGTACCGGCTACACCGCACCTTGAACTTGACCTCTGAGAGTGACGACCACACACAACAGTCACACAACGACGAGCAGATGCATTGAGTGACCGCTCCCTCCTCCCCTCCCCTCTGCCTCGTCCATTCCTTACTGTCCTTGGTCTTCAGAATCTTCACGTCTGCACACGACAGCCAACCAAGCCACAGACAACGAGTGCACCGCCCTCCCCTCCCTCCCCCTCTGCGTGTGGTCTTACGTTTGGCGTCTTTCCGCCTCGCCGTGATGAGGAAATCCTTGATCTCCTTGATCTCCTTCGGCTGAAGCAGTCACACCACACACAGACAGAAATGAGCACCGAGAGATGGTGGCGACTGGGCGAGCAGATCTTTGTCTCTCTTGCCTCCCTCCCTCTTCCCTATGCCTCCCTGTACTCACCATGGCGGCACAGCAAGCGGGAACACGGTGTCAGCACTGCGAGCTTATCTTTAAGCTCGCACCACCAAGCGAGTCGAGACTTTTGCCTTCGATTGGGGTCCGTACGCGTTGATGACGCCAGGGGATACGGACGAGCAGCAAGAGCTCTCAGGCTGGCGATTCGGGGACTTCTTCGACTTCAATCTTCTACAAGGCTGGTCGGCACCACACAAAGAGGGGCACGGGGCGGACAAACGGGTGGTGCGGACTGCTGTGTCTGTGTCAGGACGTTTCACAATGAGAAGTTGGAGACTACATACCAGCGTGAGTCCCTCACGGTGTGCCACAGACGTCAGATGTGGCTGGGCTGCTTCCTCCTTGTCCCCCACGCGATTCGGACAATCAAACTCTTTGATGTCCATGGACCGACCAGTGTGGACTTCTCTGTCAGGTGCCCTTTGATACTTTTTGATGTCTCTTGAGACAATTTATTGGGGCCTTTTTCGTCTGTTCTCTTGGCAGCATGGTGCTGGCCTCTTTGGCTGTGGCGGCCGTCGTTGTGCAGGCGGTGTTTCGCCTCAGAAAGGGTAAAGCGCTGACCAAGGAGAGCCTGTGGTGGCGCCGGCTGCACGGCATGATCATCCCGCTGTTCTATGTCCTCTACACGACTGTGTTCATCAACGAAACGTTCCGGGAGCGGGTGATTGACATATACGACTTCGGGAAGGAGGGGACAATGCCGTTCGCGCAGCAAGTGGGGCTGTTCGTGCTGACGCACATGATCAGCCTCTGCTCGGCAAGCTGTGTGGACTTCGTGCTGCTGTATCTTGTCACGTGTGTCTCCTTCTTTGCTGTGACCAGTACGTATGTGAGAATTGCCTGGAGGGAGAGACATCAGTCAGTCATCGAGTCAGATGTCGACATCGATTGGCTTTCTTTTTCTTTCTCTGCAGCTTTGTGTGGAGGGGTGGTGCCTCGCTACCTCGGCCTAGTGGTCGTTGGGTATATCTCATCTCTCTGTTGGAGCGCCATCAATGTGCATGATGGCTTTCTGACTGATGTTCCTGTGGCCATTCACTCGTGCGTGTGTATCATCTGCAGGAAGAGAGAAAGCAGCGCGTGTTGATCCTACAGAAGTGGCTCCAAAAGGAAGCAGCAAAAGGTCCGCGACCCCCACACAACGGCATTTCCCGCTGGCCTCACACATTCTCCCCCTGTTAACTGTCAGCAAAGCACCTGCTGATGGCGACAATGCACCACGAGCTCAAGAATGGCCTCCACGTGATGACTCTTGAGCTGGAAGAGATCGAGGAGATAATCTTGGAGCACCAAAGGGAGCAGAGAACCGCCAGACAGAAGACCCAGACTCAGACTGACACCTACGATGCCAGTCTGCTCAAGAGCATATCTCTTGTCAAGGCTGAGTGCGAGGACCTGTACGCGAATGTGATTGACATACTCGAGAATGACCGCAAAGAGGCCGGAGGTATTGAAGAGACACATCCGTGACAATGACTGGACGCTACAAAGGTATGTATGTCTGCGCAGAGAGCAGCGCGGCTCGTCAGGAGGTGTTCTGCCCACGAAAGCCGATACAGCAGCTCGCCAAGAGATATAAAGTCAGCAAAATTCCTCTCGTCCGTTCACCTGCTGATCGTTTGTTCGCATTTCTTCAGATACTGGCGGCTCGCAATGGCAACCTCCTGAACGTCACTTTTGGGGCAGATTTGCCGAAGTTGATCGTCGGAGACCGATACAGATACACTCAAATCGTAAACGGACCGCCCGCCACATGAGATATGGCCATGCCCTTGCCCATTCCCCTCGGTTGTGTCTCCCATCTGTGGAATGACTGCAGTGCCGCAACTACATGAACAACGCCATAAAGTTCTGCAAGCAGGTCAGGTGTGTCCGTGTGTGCATGTGTACTGTAACACATGAGCGTTTGTGTTGACAGGGCACGATCCAGGTGTCTGTGGAGACGAGCCCCAAGCGGCACACCCTCGCCAGCCTGGAAGACACGAGCAGCGTCAACCTCGCCACTCTCATGGCCTCCCCTGAGCTCGTCCAGAAAGCTATGGGGCTCGCAGCCACCCCGTTGTCACTCAGTACTCTCACCGACTGGCAGGCATCTGGCCTGGCATTTCAACAGATGGAGATTGTGCTCAGAGTGACGGACTCGGGCATTGGGATCGACGCTGACAAGCTGCAGACGATCTTTACTCCATGGAGGACAGCAGGTGGAGTTGTGGAGACGTCTTACTCGTCCACTGGCCTCGGTCTCTCATACGTCAGCGATCTGGCAAGAAACTTCTTCACAGGCGGCAGGGCGTGGGCGGAAAGCCCTGGCCAAAACCGCGGCTCGAGTTTCTTCTTCGCCGCCACGTTCACAAGTAATCTGGCTCTGCATGGAATGGCATTTCTGCCAATGTCATGTCTCGCTTGTCCTACCTGCAGCCATCGTGCCCGTCTCTTCGCTGCGGCCGGCCCACCACAAGTCATCCCCTCCCACCCCTGCAGCCAACACGCCGGCCCTGCACAAGGCACACTCTTTCATGGATTGCCAGGAAGACGGAAACGAGCCTACCGAGACGCCAGCGGGGCACTCGAGCTCCAAAGACATCGAGAGAGCCCCTCCAAGAGACGAGAGCAAGAATCTGTCGTTCCACTGCGACGATGAGGTCACCGCCGAGGCGGACTTTCCACGAAGATGCTCGTTATCCCGTGACATCACTGGGGCGAGTGAGTCTGCCCCGAGCCCCATCCTGCCAAGACGCAAGACCTCGCCTCTGGAGGGCGAAGAATTTGATGAGTCTGCCAGGCAAATCAGGTGGACGCCGAAGAACCAGCTGGACGTGCAAAGGCTCTTCTCATCGACAGAGGCAGACACGGGCCAGAAAGGGGAAAAGGAGACGCAGCAAGATGGAACGGAAGGGGGTGAAGATCACCAGAAGGAGGAGCGTGTGTGGACGCTGCTGCTGGTGGACGACATTGAGTTCATCCGAGCGACACAAGGGATGTTCTTCATGAGGCGAGGCTACAAGACCATCCTTGAGGCCGACACGGGGAGGTTGGTCTGCCGATAAAAGACGTACCGGAGCCTTTGCCTTTGCTGTATCGTCTGTCTGTGCCTGCGTCTGTGTCGTGTGCTTTCAGGGCTGCACTGTCCGTCTACATTGATTACTTGAAGACGCACAGGCACTTTCTTGACGCCGTCGTAACCGGTGCGGGTCTATTCAGGAGAGACACGTCCATCTCCGCATGTGTCTCTGTCTGTCTGTCTGTCTGTCTGTGTTTTGCCCTCCGAAGATCTTGATATGCCCCAAATGAACGGAGCCGAGCTTGGCAAGCACCTCCACGATGTGCACCATCTCTACCGAGAGGAGGCTCTCCGACTGGGCTATGGCATCCAGAACCCAACCTTTCGCATGCTCCAGCCGGCCAACCTCCCCCACCCCACCAGCAGCCATGCCTCGGTCCCTCTTCTCGCCACCATCCCGCAATACCTGGTGGACTCTCTCGTGCGCCACCTGCAGTCGGTTTTGGACGCAATAGAGCAGCCACCAGCAGAGGCTGACACGAGTGGAGAGAACGAAGACTTCGAACTGGTCCTCACTGGATCGACGAAGCAGTCGGCGACCCACGGCGGGAACGAGGAGTTATCGGTGATGTCTTCGTTCAGCCAGCTGGCCAGGGGCCTCAGCCCGCAGATGGTGAAGGAGCTGATGAATGAAGTCAATATTCGTGGGGGCAGCCGGCGGTCGAGCCTTAAAGGCGATGAGATCACCGCGCCCACTGACGGCACGACCCCAAATCGGCGGATCTCGCTGGCTGGAGTGCCTCATCCGCCGGCTAGTGACAACCAGGGTGTCGTAGTAAAAGGGCTGCTGCCCTGCCCACCTCCAATCGTCCTGGTGAGTGCTTTTCGCTTTGTCAGCTAATATGGAATGCATTGCATTGTGTGTGTGGTGAGGTACATGTGTGCAGGTGACGGGTGCGAATCCGCAGTTCCTCAAACGCCTCGAAAAGACCGTCTTCACCGCTGTCGTGGAGAAAGGTCGTGTATGACGTGACAAACATTCTTGCCGACATTCATATATGCCGCATTGTGTATGTCTGCAGGCAAAATGAAGCGACTCAAGGAGCTGTTTTGATATACGTGGATGAGCTGGCTGATCAATATCGATCTGTAGGGGAGCAAAATCGGGCTGCCTGTGCTTGCCCCACAAGGAGGCAAGCGCGAGTGCATCATGTATGGCTCGGGTTTTCACGTATTTTATGTAACAGCTGCACTGCTGCAGACCGTAGCCGACTGTGCTGCGCCGGGGGACTTTGACTGAGCGCTCTTAATAATGAGCCTCTTATCGACTGTATTTCTGTGCGTGTGTGTGGCATTCTAGTGGTCCTGTTGCATGTAAGTAAGCACGCAAGCGTGTATTTGTCATTGTCTGTGTCCCCCTTCCTCCCTCGACTCGAGCTGCTTCCCCCCACCTCTCTCTATCTATATGGATTTCTATATGACTTTTTTCGAGGTAGTTTCTGAGCACATCTCCGCAGATGGTGAGGTCACCATCGTTGAACTGGTATGGCCGCGACCAGCCCCAAGTGCCGAAGCTCTTGCGACGTCCGTGTGTATGCCATTGAATGAGTGACGGGAATTACCTTGCATGTCTCTGAGGCGAGCTGGAAATTGGGGCCCTGCAGGAAGATCTATGTCTTTGTGAATATTCTCTTTGTGAACTCCAAGAGCCAAATGTTGCTTCCCATGGTCCTACTGACAGCCGCATTCTTCGCCGCTGCTTTGATCGTGTCGTCGCTGCCGGCAGCTGAGGCATGGGGCAGACGGCTGCTGCCGATCAAGACGCCACGCTCCGCTGCAGCCCGCAGTCGGCCTGCAGCCCCACAGAGATACGCTCTTCTGGCGGGCGACAGAGGCCTTGCTATGCGGCTCACCAATCAGAAGCGAGGAGAGAATATGAGCGAAAGGAGACGATTGTCAGTCAAACCAAATGACCTGACAATGACGTTTCCTGCCCTTCCAATCCTTCCCGAGGAGGTCGCATGATAACGCACACACGCCGCCTCCGTCGGCCGACACATACCCATATCAATCAGAGGTGTGTGTGTGTGTGTGTGCGTGTGTGTGTCCACAGGACTTCGATGATAGCAAGGGTGAGAAGGCGAATGGGGGTGGATGCACACTTTCCGCGTTCAACTCATTTTGTGTCTCTTGTAAGGAATTAAGATTCGTGCCTGGATGCGGCTGCATGGCCTCAAGATCAAGCCTGACGTGAAGAAAGATGGTCATCGAAGGTATTGGGTTCCGCTGCTATCTGTTGAGGGGAGCCACTCAGAAGAGATGCGTTCTTTGAGGAGCCAGGAACCGCCTTTCTCGCCTGTGGCGCTCGTGACAGCCCTAAAGGGAGAGCTTTACGGCAACCGAACTGCCTCTTGGGAGCTGTGTTGCGCTTCTAAAGTGGCAGACAATTCCTCTCGCCAGACGGCATCGGGCTTCAACTGGATGTCAGATTATATAATCTGCATGCCATTCATTCCACAGCGGAGTTCAGCAGCAAATGATATGTCCTTCGAGGCGTCCTTCTCGTGGACTCACATCGCTTGCCAAGCGGAAGTCAGAGAAACGCATGGCGACAAAAATGCGGGAACAAACAACACCAACCACCAAGCGCAAAACAACAGCTTCTCCCTTACGATACTGGTGAATGGCACCCTCGCGCGGCAGAGCACTCTGAAGATCCCCCCTGACCCTGATGAGTGGCTGTCGAAGAGTTATAACCACACAAACGCAAGTTGGCTATCGTCTGTGATCGATGCAGACTTAAAGTCTACACATGTCATTCCCAACTTGGAGAGGCGGGTCGCCTTCCAAGCGCTGGAGGGCGTCAGGAGCTTCCGGGCAGCGAATGAGATGACAGTCAGCTTCTCTGGGCTATACCAGAGACTGCCTATGCCTCCCCAGCTGCCGGCTTTTCTTTTTGCAGTGGAAGCATCTGGAGATATGACGGCGAAAGAGAATTGGCTTATCGTGCAGGACGCCGACACGGGTTTCTCACTTACCGGGGTGGCCAGCACAATGCTGAACGGTGTCTTAGCAGAGATCGAGACGACACCAGCATACAGGATGGCTCGAGATGGCGCTTTTGTCTTCGACATTGAAGTCAGCCAGGCAGATCATCCACACACACGACACACACATCCCTGCTCATCGGTCTGTGTGTCGATGTGTGTGGCCTGCCTGCCTGCCTGCCTCCAGTTCGACAGCGTACGAGCTTGGAAAGACGTCGGCTCGGAGGAAGAGGGCGAAGCGAGACAACAGGCAGGGACACCATCCGCCCTCCCACATTACACGTGTTGCGTCTCTATGTGTGTGCGTGTGAGCAGACTCGCGCGGACGTCCTTTACATTCGACACATAAAGGTGAGGTGAGAACGGAGGGGGAGAGGCAAGATGGGTGCAAACGTCGGCTGGGTCTAAAAAAGCGATTTTGGTTTTTTATTTTCCTATTTTTGTTTTTTAATCCTATAAAAAACAACAACAACAACAACAGAATTTGTTTGCCTTTCTCGATTTCGATTTGGACGTGGACGTTGCTCCGGCACTGCACACGGGCGGCGGCTTCAGAGTGCTGGAGAGGGTCTCACAGACCTACAGGTGCCCCAACGAGGCAATGCCATGTGGGACAACATGAACACACGCATGCACATAATTCACATAAATGCTGTCCGATGTTGTCTGTTCGTGTGCAGCGACTGGGGTCTGCCATTCTTCGAGAATAGCACTGCAAGGCTTCCGCTCCAGCACGAGTTGACAGTCTTTCTTCAAGTGTCGTCCTGTCCCGACCCATCAAGACACGTATTCGACAGAGACGCGGAGGCTGTTGTGCTTCTAAGGGCGAGCCTGTATCCGGTCTACAGTGACATGCCAAGTTGGAAACATGCAGCTGTGGAGATGCTGCCTGAACAATTTCCCTTCGGTGTCCAGTTTGAGATTACGCAATTTCCTTTCGGTGGAATGCTCTTTGAGGTGTCCAGCCTAAAAGCCATTGATGACAAGAGCGTCAGCCGTGGAGTATGCGCGGGCTATTATCAGGTGGAAAGAGGACCTCCCGTTCACAGCCGAGATCTGCTGGGTGATGCAGAAGACGACCTTACGTATGAATCGAGGCCTTGTATTGTTTTCAATGCGACCCAATCGTTGGGGCGTCTCTGTCGGCACAAGAAGGGAGACAAGGTCAAGGATCTCCGGATAAGAAGCTTCGTTGACCTCTTCGGTTGCGGCACGGTGTTGCCCATGCTCTTAGTGCTGAGGGATTCGGCTGAAGATCTTGAGTGTTTCAAGTATGCTGTTCGTGCTGATACCAGATCGGATGCTGATGCATTTGTGCTACCAGACGTCCGACCAGCTGTCGGCTCTACGAGTGGGTCGGCTTTGTCATCTGAAAGACAGCCTAAGTGCCATCAGACGGCTCCAGTGCGTGTGACCATACACGATGAGAAACGACTACCGAAGCCTGATCCATTCGGCCAGATGTCTCCGATATGTCTCGGTAAGGGAATCGTATCATACTTAGCTCTTCACGCCTGCCTTTATTCGGCCTCCTGCCTGTGCGTGGTCTGATCAGGTCTCATTCGCACCAGTCTGACCCTCGATGCCCGCACAGACGCGACCAGAGAGAAATGTGAGACAGGCATATAAAAAGTAACATGCAAGATACACATGTCATGTCTCCTGTGCGTGTGACTGATGCAGGCGGGAGTTTGAGTCTGAAAGGCGACATGTGGGAGTTGGCATGCTTGCCTACCGCGGCATCGAGAAAACGGTGAATGAATTTCAGGTGAGAGAAAGCCATCCGTGTGCGTGTGGACTCTTGATTATTGCGAACATATGTTTACAGCCGACATTTCATTCGTACTTGAACAGTGCTGTGGGCAATAAGTGTGAACTCGACTTCGCAATGATGCCTCTCGACTTCGATACAGTCTATGAAGCGGTGACTCATCCGCACGCGCATAAATAGGTTGCATCTGATTGGAGCCTTTCTGCTTCCTCCAGGCATCCGCAGGCCAGGTGCGTCGGGCTGACGGCGCCGTGGACATCGATTTCATCTTTACAAATGCAGGTGCAGCCAATGCGCATTGATTGAAATGAATGAAATGATGAGCTGACTGTCCGACTGACTGATCATGATGTGTACGTGCAGGAATGAATGTCGAATTCGAAACAATGTACAGTAGTCGAGCACTGCTTTCCCTAACCAAGATTCGGTACGCAACCCTGAATTACGGTCCACACATCTCGCTGGCATCTGTGTGTCTCCCATCAGTCTTGGCATTCTCTTGCCCTTCTTCGGAGCTGTGCTGTTCACGAGGCGAAATGCCACGGACATCAACAATATCACCGATTGCAGAGGTGTGTCATCACTTTGCAAGACAGCTCCAATCAATTATGAGCGTCCCTCTCTCTGACAGGCAAGGTGATCTGTGGAGTGGATCGTCGTGCATTTGACGCGTGGCATGTTGGCTGGCACGAGATGCTTAGACGAGTACGTGACGACGAAAATTAGACCAGCGCCCAATATCCTTTGTGTGTCAATGCTTCTGGGCTGGTGCAGGGTATTGACCCATATCAGGACGCTTCGAAAATAGAGTACTTCCATACTGGAGACAAGGTCAGTGAGACGCAGAGACGCAGGCGATCATGAGGCTGCTTCTGAGTGCTGTAATGTCATCGACGTAGACTGCGCTTGCCGTCCTCGACGGGAGATGTGATTGCGGCACAATCCGATCATCTACACTGGAGTCAATGGATGCCGAAGGCACTATTCGCATCGATGATGTGAGGCTCTTGGTGACAAGGACTCATCCGAACTTCCCTTTTCTTTGCTCCACTGACCTGTATCCAGGTGATGCGCATTGTCAATTTGTCATATTGTCTCAACCTGGTGTGTATTGTTTGGTGGTCAGAATGGGTGTTGTCGGCTCTCCAGCATGTTCCGGAGCGCTTGGCGATGAAAGTCGCACTCAGCCTGCTCTTCATCAATAGCTCTGATGCCACGGCAGAGTGGGCGAAGCAAAGAGGCAATTACGCAGGTTTGACATCAAAATTTTGGAGACACGGTGATGTCTCGCCACGTCTGCATGTCAATGCTAGGCTGGACTCTTCCGCAAAACGCCGCTGTGGTGCGCCTGATGCTTACAGGTGAGCACAATCTTACACAATGCAGACTGCCTGGCAGACTGCCCGGGAGAAATGTACGTGAGTCTCTTGCATTTCCGCAGAGCTCGGCGTATTGACGGCTCTCGGCAGCTGCGAGGCGGGTTACGTGATGCACAGCAATGGCGACTGCGAGCAATGTCCCCCTGGCACATTCAGTGAAACAAAGGGAGCCCGAGCCTGCCGCATGTGCCCCTCTGGCAGCTTTGCAGCGGAGCCCGGTAGCACAAAATGTGAGAGGTACAGCTTAACGGCATTTTCGATGGTGAAAGTAAAAGAAAATCGCATGTTTCCCCTATCAGGTGCGAGCTGGGCTATTACATCGATCGTCCCGGAAGAGATTCCTGCAAGCAATGCCCGGGAGTGCGTACAACAGCCTATCCGGGCGCCTCGTCAGATGACAGCTGCGTCTGCCCGACGGCAAGCGACAGCATTGTGTCAATCTGCTTCTTTTCAGTTGTCTCCGTCCCCTGTCACACGCAGGGCACGTATGAGAAGCCGATTGCATCGAGAGACAGGGAAGAGGGCTTCAAAGAATGCTTTGACTGCCCGCATGGTCTGAGGTGCGAGGGCAGCGACATGCTCCCCAGCGTCGCGGCAGGCTATTGGGTGGACACGCGAGAATGGCTACCAGGAAACGCCTCTCTAAGATATGACTTTGAGCCCGACATCTACGCCTGCCATCCTCACGAGGCCTGTCCAGGCGGCCCGCTGGACAGTCGGATGATCGAGAAGACGGCAAATCAGCCGAAGGCTGCTGCAACCATGCCCAGGATCTGCAGGTCCAGTCTGTGAAAGCATCTTTGCAGTCACGCTCCCAACAGAGCATAGTGCTTCTGTTTTGTTCCCGCTCAGGGAAGGTGTTGATCAGACTTTTATCGCGTGCAGTAAATGCCTACCTCGATACTTCTCAAGGCGAGCTGGTGGGTCAGCTGACTTGTTCAGGACTTGAAATAGGTGCACATGATATCGCTTCAGGCTTCTGCGAGCCATGCGGCCATACCCCTGCAGTCGTCCAGATGGCGTGGGCAAGCATTCTCCTCCTGCTGACCATGGCGTTTTTTGGATTCATCCACTTCTACATCAACCGCGTTAGCAATGCCAGCGGAAGACCCGATGGTACTTTGATTAAAAAGTAAGAGAAAGGTGAGAAGCCCAAACCTCCACTAAATTCACTCACAGACACGAAACTACCTGCGTGTGTCTTCCTCCCCCCCTCTCTCTCTGTATGTCTCTCTCTTCCTCCATATTTGTCCCATGTAGCCTCGGCCAGGTTTTCTCTCTCGCCGTGCGGTATCTCATGACAGTCGGAATCTTCGTGTCGTTCAATGTCAGCCACTATTCATTAGATGTCCTTCACACGGCATCTTTGACGAACATGCATCTTTTTCCGCTTTCCGCAGGTTCCGTGGCCTGAGCCTTCATCATCCTTCATCGCCGCAGGTGCCGTGATGTCTCTGTCGAGGAAGGGAACGTCTGACTCTCATCTACGCTCTCTTTGCCCAACCATCAGGCTCACTGATTGATCTCGACCTTCGCCACCTCAGGCCCGAATGCTTCCTACGTGTCGAGATGACGCCGCCAAGATACTACCTACCGCGGCTCCTGCTACCCATCATGATAATAGGGATATTTCCCCTCATGTGGGCACTCTCGCTAATCCCATGGGGGTTCAAGAGGCTTCTCTTTGGCACCACATCTGTGGGCCGCAGCGACAGCCAGAAATGGCACGAGTCAGAGATGTCGAGTGTTGGCATCTTCGTGAGAACCCCTGCCCTCACACAGCTTCGACCAACGCTCAGTGCTCCGGCAATGCAGATCAACTATAGCGAAAGAAGAGCAACTATAGCGAAAGAAGAGCTGGCGGTATCAGCAGCAGTGAAAAGGGTACGTGTTGCCCACATACAATGCACTTCTTAAAGTTCTTATTAAGATTCAATCTCGTCTGTTTTTTCAGACTCTAGTGGTGGCTGGAAGGGCTTACTACGCTGGGTAAAGCAGCAGCCGGATCGCATGCGAAAAGGGACCACCAACGTGTGCTACAGCCTGATGGAGTGGTCGCCAATGAGTCTGAATCGGCTGTGTAACTCAATGGTCATGATGGTGATGAGAAGGATACGAATGAGGCACGAAAGAGGCACCAATCAGCTGCAGCGTTTGCATTCATTGGTGTCTTAGATCTACTGTATCTACATCCCCATGGTCGTGAGCGTCACTTGCATCTTCCAAGTGAGCGTGGCGTGCTGAGATCACACTCAAGCTTGTACACACATATGCAGACAGCCACACTCACGTGAGCCATCTCGTGGTCCATCAGTGCTTTCGCTACCCCAACGGGCGCTTCAGCTTAATCCACATGCCCTATGTAAGTATGTGCCCGTCTACCTTTCCACCAATCTTGACACAGCTCATGTCTCTGTCCGTCTCTGTGCGTCTCCTCTCTCCTCTCTCGGTGCGATCAGACGCTGTGTTATGATGCGAAGTGGTGGAGCTCCCTGTTTCGCTTGGCGTGATTGGCGCTGTTGTCTACATCGTGGGTGTATTGGTCTTCTACAGCGTCATTTGGTACGTGGCGCCAAATAGCTGGCCGAAGAGTGCCGCGTTTAGAGTGAGATTTCGCTATTTATTTGAGTCATGCCGAGCGGTAAGTGAGCGCCACCATATGAGCAACCGCCCCACTAGCTGCATGACTTTGCGTTTGTATGGTGATTGCAACGTAGGATCGCTATTGGTGGATGCTCTTCAATTTGGCGAGGAATACACTGCTAGCGACGGTGCCCATCTTCTTATGGCACGACGGGGCGTTGGAATGCTTTTGCGCCAAACTGATCATCATCTTCTCTCTCGTCTGCCATCTGCTTGCTTGGCCTTGGAGAACGCCCGCCAGTAAGAAAAAGATGTTTCCCTCTCCATGTCTCTGTTTTTGCCGCGATTCTGCATGCAGGCAACTACCTCGAGCTCATGTACAATGTTCTCTTGTTGATTCTCCTGATGTACGTGCACATTCTTTTTCACGAAAAAGCGAGCCCCTATTGATATATATATGTGGCATATGCTCACCAGGGTCGGGTCATATTGGGCTGAACGACGGTCAGGATCGCTCCCATTCTTCCAGAGGCTTGTCTGGACTACCACTTTGATTGGCATTGTCGGAACTGTCGCGGCTGTGGGGTGCGCCAGCCACAGAAAGTACATGAACCACCAGCCAACACATATGTTTCCTTGTTTTTCTTCAGGTATTCGGTGCTTTGGACTTGCAAGCGTGGTCCATTGAGGCAGGCGCGGGCCAACTTTGTGCAGGTGGATGCACACAGAAGAAACCCTCAACTCTCATCGTGCTGCATTGTACGCTGCTGGCTCGTGCAGCGGGTTGTGGACGACATGCATATCACATCGCATGCGATTGTCAGCTTCCTCCAGGGCGGGCACCGACAGCCGCTGCCATCCCTACCCTCTTTTAGAGAGCATGGCGACGGCACTGCACTTGACAGAAGCATGGCCCCCTCGAGCCGCGTGGATGAGCCACTGCCGCGCGAGGTTTATTTGAAGGCAGCTGTGAATCGGCTACACCGCGTCGATCTCAAGGCCATCAACGATGCGCACCAGGTGAATGGCCATCAGGAGAATGGACCTGACACCGTCGAGCTGTGAATCGGCTCATCAGGTCATTGCGGTTGAAATTCTGCCCTTCATCGAGCTCCTTGACTCCCAGTCGAGGCGGTACTTAGCCCAGCACAGCGCTTGTGAATGCACACATACTTCTGCACGATGTCTCTGCCACAAATGGATGTGTGTGCAGGCCGGGCATGCCAGGCGACAGCCGGCACGCCCGCCGCCGCACTCGGCGTATTTTTCTCGCCGAATTTGACCACGTCTATGACCATCTTCTCAAGACCGCAGGCCACCTCAACCGTCCGGCCGACACTAGTGGTAACCTTGCTCGGGACCTTCCCCGGCGCAGGAGCCGCAGCTTTTCCGAAAGAGCCGCGGACGACGGCCAAGACGACGACAGCAACAATGCAGAAAGTGATGTGCCGGCGCCCTCTCGACCTGATGAAGGAATGGCGCCTCCTTGTGAGCCGCCCGCCGCCGCGTCGCTGCCATGGACAACGGGAGACACCAAGCTAGACCCCACCCGACTCAGGCGAGGGAGCTTCGCCTCTTGCAGCACGATCAGCGACTTTTATCAATTGGAAGCCGCCAAGAAGGATGGTAGACCGCCGCAGCACCGCAAGGCGGACATACGACGAGAAGACACCCATGGGTTTGTGAGAGACACGATGTGGCTTGAGCGGAAGTGCTCTCCACTGCTGTGGCCGGCCGAACCAAGTCAGACTCACCCGGCTCGGTCCGATCGTGTGCGGGCGTCTTCTGCGAGGCCTCAGCAGCAGCTGGAGGGCGATGATGCAATCGAGGGCATATCTGTGTCGAGCGGTGGCAGCCACGATTCTCTATCTTGCTGACGAGAAAGGAGAGAGACACGTATTATCAGACACGGTGTCTCC